GTTTAGCTAAAGAAAAATAATTTTTTTTTTTTACTAATTTAGATGCAAGCAAATTAAAACAATTAACTAATATCAACAAATATATAACAATTTCCGGGGTGAACAGTAATCCACGCTACATGAACAGCTAAATTTTTTTTATTTTTTTTTATTATTAAAAACAATTTAGTTAAGTTTTTTATTAACTAATACAAACTATTAACTTTACAGCAAGGAATTATTAATTAATTCTTCTAGATTGCTGTCAAAACAATACATAATATAAAACAAATTAAGGAGTTAAAAATTCAGGCCCTGCATTGGTAGCAGTCGTTCGATATCACTCCCTAGAAGATTAAGGACTCCGCCCTATTCGCAACTTGGCCGCAGTTTGTCCTCTTCTCCCCTAGCTGGCTAAAAATCCCCGGAATCGGCCGGGGGGGGAGGACCTCTGCCACTCGCGGCGTGAGGACACAAGCCTTATGCTCAGACGAAAAACAGTTGCCAGAAAGTTAGATATGGTAAATATGTAGCCGAAATCCTATTGCGAGCGTATTATAGGTGAGTAGAGAGAACGAAGAGCTGTAGAGATTTGCCTCTTCGTTGCAGTGTGATTCTGAATGAGCTCCAAGCCTTCCTTTTATAGGTGCATGAAAGCGTGTAACCCCCGCCTGAATCCAAGGACGACGTTACGACGGCTTAATGCTTACCGTTACCGCATGCACCGTTACATATGTGTAAAACTCGACCAAAAAATGGAAGGCCTGAGAAGTCCAAAGTTGCGGCTGCGGCTGCCGGGCGTGGCGGCTGCGGCGCGGGCGCGGCGTGTGTGCGCAGGCAGCGCGTGTTGGGTAGAACCGCCAAAGCCCCAACGAAAAACCGTCTGATAACACATATTCAAACGCAATAAGGCAGAGAACCATTCAATATACCCTTTACTAATTCATATTCATTTCCGCATGTGGGAGTATTCACAAAGCAAAATGCCTTTTCAGATGTAATAGTAGTTTCCAACGAACTGTTGTATGCTACAACTTTAATGTTGTAATAATTTTTTGTTCCTAGGAAAAAACAGATTTTCCACTCAGACATTATGTCACCATATACTTGATCTTTTCATCAAAACCTCTATGTTATATATATGCTCTTAAAGTGCCATTTTCATGTCGCAATTTTAATTTTATTGGATTTAAAGAAGAGCGTCTGCCTTCTATAGAAGAAACTGTTGCTGTTTCAAAGTTCAGATTAACACATTTTAGAATAACTTTAGAAACTAATTAAATAGGGTGAATATGGACAGACCTCCTTGCAATAGCACCAATTTGCTGATAATCCCTATAGCTCAATAGGCCCTCTGAGTGAACTTTTTGAAACTCCTGTGAAAGAGTAAATAAATTAACTGTAAGAGTAAATAAATTTAACTAAGATTAACATAAATTTAACTAAAATAGAGATGAACTCTGCTTTCAAAGGTCACCCGCAACAAGGAAATACAAATAAATTTGCGGTTTCTCCATTTTAGTCCCTTACATTATATAATATCTTGAGTTAGTCACTCAAATCATTAAATTGCAATTTTTGTCCTTAAATTAGTATAAGTTGTCTCTACATTCGCCTTTCTAATCACTAAAATTGCTATTAGGTCTCCCAATCCCTACGAATTGTTTTGCCCCTCCCAGTGTAGAGAGACAATATTAATATATATTTAATATAGGAATTTGTTCATGTTTTACTGGAGCTTCAGCGCGTTGAGCTGGTCCTGAAACTCGTCGAATCTTTTGTCACGGGTGCTATCCCCAGTGTGTGACGTTCCTATCGACGTCTTGGAGGAGTAATCAGAATGCTGATTATCCTCTGTCTCAGTCGCTGGCCGGTGAGGAGGTACCCATTCCTTGTCCCTAGTTTGCCGGGGTAAGGGACGTTGGGCCCTTTTCTTCTTCTTCTTCTTGTTCAGCAGTTGCTCCATCATCTCTCTTAGAGAGTCGATGGTCGCCTGCTGTTCCTCCAGCTTTTGAGCCATTGTCTGCTCGGGGTTAAGTTCGGTCATGTGTACTTTCGCCTGCGCGTCTTGGCTTGAGCGCGAGGTCTGAGATGTGGCCGCCGCCGAATGAACCTCGTCTTCGCCGTAGGAGGGAGGTACCAGGGTGGAGTAATCGAACCCAATACTTGCCCCCCGGCGACTACGCGTTCGCCGGAATATGCCGTCCTGCCGGCGTTGAGCGAACCGAGTGTTAGGTCTCAGGACGGAATCCGAGTCTGACGAGTCGGAGAGTACCGCTTTCCCCTTATCCGTCATGTTAACTGTGGCGGATGAGAGCTCTAGGTCGTCGGCAGCGCGTCTTTTTTTGTGACGACGCCTTTGACGAGAGGGCCTTGGTCGAGAGGACTGTTAAGACAGTCTCTCGAACACCGAAGGTTTCGTCGTTCCGACGCATTGGCAGTCGGCGAGAACCGTATGGATGAGTCTCTCGTAGTGGCACTGAGGATTCGCCTCCTGCATAGTGCGTTTGCGAGTTAAGTATTCCCTAAGGTCTCCTGTGGGCGGTTGGTGACAACCCCCAGCTTCAGAAGAGTCGCTCGGGTGAGCGCATGAGAGATTTTTAGACGCGCTCTCTGGTGCGCGTTGGGTGGAATGCTTTGGTGCTGGAGTTGGACGATCTCGCCTTGACTGGCGAGTCTTCGCGTTTGAGCGAGCTCCAGTACGTGGGCGGGTTTCACCCCTTCGCCTGGAAGAGTGGGTTCGCGAGGACTCGTCTACTTCTCTACCTTTACGTTTATCCGTCAAATGGTTATGACGAGGCTCGCCAGCCTTCGAGGATTCGCCTACTCGGGTAGGCTCACTCCTTGGAAGTGAGTTATTCGCATCAGGGATATGACCTGAGAAGCGAAGTCTTCCCGAGCGGGCGGCTCTGCCTTCCTCGGTTGGCGCTCCTGACTTGGAGGGCCGGACCTCCTGTCTGACGAGCGTTTGCCGCTGCTGCTGGCTAGCTCTCCCAGTGAGGAGAGCGTCACCGCGAGCCGTGGCAGTACAGTTTGTGCCGGAGTGAACCGGCGTTTCCTCCGAAGCAGGTGTCTGCGTGGACCGCTTGGCGATCCATTTGGCAGATCCTTGCCTCTTGCGCTCGATCTCTGGCTTGGCCTTGATCGATTGCGAGGGAGTGGGCTCCTCCGACGAGACTCGGGTGGAACCTTCAGGCGCGGAAGCTTTGACCGTCTGAGGTCGGCTTCGGCGCACGACTCTGTGGCGTTTGCGGGACACATCGCCACCAGAGGATGAGGAAGACAAGTACTCTTCGTACTTGGCCTGGTCGAACTCAATCTCCAGGGACTCTACAGTCGTCTCGACAGCAACTTCATCAAATTGAGCCACCACCATTTCGTTCGATGAAACAGCACCTCCCACTGTGGTCGCCATCTTCTGTATGGTGTAAATTTGATTTCTCGGAAACAGGGAGTTTTCGTTTGTATTAATAAGAAAGCTTATTACAAACTAATAATCAAATGGTTACAACAGAAGCAGAGGGAATGCCCTCTTTGTTTTGTGTGGGGACTTTAGGTGGCTATAGGACGCTTCGCTCGATGCTCGTGTCGAGTCTGCTTCCCTTGGACCGTTCGATCGAGGTTGCTGGAGAGCTTCAGTACTCAGTAGAAGCTCGAATCGAAAGAGTTCGAGTCTGCTTAGTTCGCCGGCGATCGGAGCTCGGAACTAGGCAGTGGTGCTGTAATGCAAGGGTTATGCGAACAGCTTGGTCTCAAATGCTTCTTTCTGAGTTTTGCGACCTCTTTCACAGTGTGCTGGAAGGGGCTTTTAAATGGAAGAATGACAGCTTGACTACTCCTTGAATTATGGGATATGACCATACATTGTCCAGAGATGTCTTACTGTTCATTCGTACTGTCAGTGGTCATTCGAAGAGCTGCGCTCTGCATCACACTACGTAGGAGTGGGAAAGCCCCTCCTCGTATGCGTGACAACGGCTGTCAGATGCTTGCGTGGATCTGAC